GTGAATAGTCTTACGGTTTATAGTAAATGTTAACCTGTGATATTAATTATCTATATATTTTCACATATAGTGATATCTTTTCAGAATGCCCTTCGCCATTACCCCCAGGAGCACACAATATAATAGAAGAGATGAACGACATTTATTAGGATGTCTTTTCAGATGACGTACACGGAACAAGCGAAATCATAAAATCAACGGATGAAAATATTAACCCAAATATACCATTACCTAATTTTGTTCTTGGAGAAGATCCTTTTATGACCGTGTATCAAAATGCATCCTCACCATATTTACTATGTGTCGTGTAGGTGTCGTGTCCCTCTTAAATATCAGCTCGGTATTAACCCCTTTAAATACCTCTACCTTGATACCAGATCTGTCACCTTTCCCTCAAACGATTACCCCGCCTGTTGACAGCAAAATACAAACACCTATGCCATCACTAGCAAAAACCCATGGTGAAGTATGTAACGATTTTTTTATCCCACTCACGATGTTGCAGACTATAGCAATTGTCAATCAATCAACACAGCTATGTCTTCATGCCAGTCATCTCCGGCGCACCATATTCGATGCAGAGGTAAAAAACGTGTCCGAAATTATGATGAATAGGAAGAAGTTAAAAGAAAACGCTTAACAGTTGAGAATGCAGGAAAAGAATACTCCTCCAAAAAGGGTGTTATTGTTCCAGCAAAAACTATAGGTAGCACGTGCATGTGTAGATATAAATGTTACACTATGTTGACTCTAGAAGAAAGACAGGATGCGTTTAAAAAGTTTTGGAAGTAAGGTGATCGTGAGAAACAATGGTTGCATGTTGCAAATTATACTACAAAACAGAAGAATAAAAGGGGTCTTCAAAGAGATTTAAAGCATAACCGTCAATTCACTTACAAGTATTTTTTGCCAAAGGGCTCATCAAAAATAGAGGTTTGTAAAACCTGTACCAACCATATCGTATATTGAAATTATAACATGATAGCTTTCGCTTGTAATACAATACACTCATTTGCCCGTGAAGACACGACAAAACCTTCTGAAAATCAAAGGTAGCACAAACGATGCGTCCATTAGAATTAATAGAGTCATATTTATCTTTTTTTTTCAAGGTTCTGGATACTTTTTTGCTATTTAAATCGTTTTCATAATGTTGTCTAAGGTCGTGAAACGGATTTTGTGTTAGTTTAAAACTGTGGCACTGATCACAATTAGTATCCGTTTTGGGTATATGGAAACTCAAATTAAAATGACTGTTAACTATGTCTCTGTACTGTCTAAGACTAGAAGCTGTATGTGAAAAATGATTGAGTTCAGGCCATTCTTTGTATAAATTGAACATCCGAGCGATGCTCAAGTCACCATCTTAATACAGTTTTTTGGACGCTGCTCTATTATAATGAGATTCTACCGGTACAAATAAAGTAACGTGGGCACAAACCGACCTTACCATTTCATCGTCAACAATCCGATTATGACTTTTATGTTTTCCCCTCATGTCTGTTTCTATTAAAGTGCTTCCGTCATATTTATCCCAAGCTGTCCGGACTAACCTTTCACTAATCAAATACATACTTACTACACTACTGTACTGTGGAAGTTTGACCCTTGTACTTCGAAAGGAGACTAGATATTACAATACTCCAATCTTACGTAAAGCATATGTGGGTCCATTTCCAATCAATAATGATAAATATAAGGATGTAATTAGTCTTTGCGATACCTCAATAATACCTACCAAATACCATAACTATTTTAGAAGTTTAACTCATGGGCGTAATGTTTCTTATGATAACAATTAATCTGACAAAACAATTGTGCATTATATAGTTGTTTTATACTTTTTGATTACTTATATTTTTAGTTGCTTAATTGTTACTAATTTGATCTCTGAAGTTGTGATTTTTAAGAATTTATTAATTTAATTAATGTTGTTACTACCCTATATACTTATAAGAAAGATTGTGATACTATAACTTTGCTAATATAATGATTAGCGTTTAAGTTTTAGATAAGTAATTTACCAAAAAAGAAGTAATCATGTCAAAACATCTTCAAACATTATAATCTTCTTAGTCTATATAGTACAAAAATAATGTTTTTCATAATTACTTAATTTAAAATTAATGTAGTAATATTATATTGATTAAAAAAGAGTTTAAAGACCAGACCAAATATTCTTTTTATTTATAAGATACCTTATTCCAACCTACGATATCCACCTACCTACCTATTTACTTACCAACTACCTACCTACTTACTTACTCATGGTCAAATCTAATATGACAGATAACACTTCCGCCAAAATATTACTCATTAAGTCGGTAGAACATGATTGGAAACTAACATCCGTCATTCTTTGAACAGTAACTTTCCGAAGTAAAATGTCGGATAATACTATGTGACTGTGTTGACTCCAAAGTAAAATGAAGCATGTGATTTTTCTGGAAAACTGTATAATTTTAAGATGTTATTTCTATTCCAGTTTAAAACAACCCCTAATTTTAACGTGTATGCCAATTTTCATAATTACAGATTTAGAAGTAAAAAAGTTATGCCAAAAAATCTATCATAATTATTTCAAATGGCTGCCCTGTAAAATTTGAATTTTGTCAGATCCGTCACTATTCTACGACTATGACGTTATGTTTGTTCCTAATCCTTAAAGTATGAACACCTTTATTTTTATCAAAGCTATTTATTTTTTATGTAAATACTTAAAAAACTTATATAATATAATAAAATTAATTTGTAAATCGCCCGTACGGCTCTCTTTTGCAAAACAAATATGTAAGCCACTGCGCCACGGAGTCGTCTCGTCGAAACAGGCTTCAATGTCTGCAGAACTAACTCTGCCTGCCAATTTAGATACATGGGGGTTCCATTGAAGCTTCCCGTCAATAGTAATACTGAGAAAAGAAAAACGGTGGTATCCACAAGACTCAACAAAGCCACTATTACTAAGCATATTGTATTAAAATTAGTCAACCATGGTACTGGCATAATCAAAAGTATGATTGAAGTGGTTATAAAATAAAGAATAAAAAGTAATTGCCTTTTTTGCATTGAATGTGCAGGAACCAACGCAATTTTGAAAACATGTGTTGTGTTTTGAGTCTGGTAGAATTGTGTCCCGTTTCTCCGACACTGCGCACTAGGTTCCATCTGATTAAAATATAGCAAAGCGTCGGACTGTTAGGACTTAAATTAGCATGATTAATCATATTATCTCCGTGGTGTCAATTAGCCTAGAGAGCGACATCGTTATCATTACTTCTCCTTTCGTTTCAAATGAAATCTCATCAACCTTTTAAATTTTCCATTTCTTGTCTGGCTGGCTGCTGGCTGGTAGGAAACTGGACGTGCAGTCAAAGTCCGCGCTAAGAAACTTACATCTAGCAGTGGATTGTCACAGGCTGATGATGATGTTGATGATGATAAATTGTTACCCACAAAGGTTTACCAGTCAACACTGGGAGTAATGAAAAAATATAGATAGCAAATTTAATACTAAGTTAATAATACAGTATATTATATTACTACAAAACAATAGATATTTATATGTAGATATCAGATTTACGTTAACTAAGTAAAAATATCCATTAACACATATCATTCCGTGAGTGTCGTAAGAAGCGGTAGAGAAAAACAAACTAGAAGATGTGCAGCAGCGTTTTATAATAACAATTTGGAAAATAAAAAAACTGTGGTTGGCAGGATATATGCCAAGCGTTGCAACTATGGAAAATATCCTTCTAATGAGGCAATCTATATTGTGTCTCTGTTCTTGACTTTGATAGGCTGTAATGAAGATCATGATGATGATCATATTATTCAGATATATGTATCTAAATTGTGATTTCAAATCTATCTTTTGTAGGAAAACTAATTGGATAGTAATAGGACGATCCAGAGAAATGAATACTAAAAATACTGTTTTGCAATACGAAACTAAGTATTACAGGGAAGAGGCCTGTGCCGGACGGGCGTAACTCTCCGGAGTAAATGTTGTCGAAGATACTCCGCGAGCCGCTCACGTCCTACACCTATAGGTTCAGGAGGATACTTTCACTACCGCCTTTGTGTATGCTGTTGGAGAACTGTGGACTGAGGTTCAGAATTAAAAATGCACGATTTATAAATTAAAATAGCAAGGGAGTGGCCAGCGGTTCGACTGAATAATTAGTTGCGAAATATTATAACTTATTTATTTATTTAACACTGTTGTTCAAGTATGGTTCGTCACTTATATATTTCAAAACACAGATTTAATTAAACACACAGTAATATTAAAATGTCTATTGGTTTTTAAAATTTCTATTCGCATTTTCAAAATATCTGTTGGTAATATCAAATTTCTATTGGCAGTAACTAGTTTCTATTGGTATTTTCTACTATTTCTATTGGTAATTTTGAATATCTATTGGAAGTAACAAATTTCTATTGGTAGTATCCAAAATTTCTATTGGTAGCAGCTGGTTTTCTAATACTACTGACTAGCAGCTATTAATCAACTAAAATTAGTTGAATTTAACACTTTTTGTAACTGCGAATATCAGTTACCACTTTCTCCGTCTAGCTAACACTTTTCACTATATGTAACGGCGAAATTTCCGTTACCACTTTATTCGGCTAGCTAACACTTTTTCACTATATGTAACTGCGAATATCAGTTACCACTCCTTTCAGCTAGCTAACACTATTTTACTATATGCAACTGAGAATTTTCAGTTGCCACTTTTTCCGACTATGTGTAACTGCGATTTTTCAGTTACGACCTTTTTCGGCTAGCTAAACTTTTTCTATTTCACTTTAACTTTTCACTGTGTTCTGCTACTAGTCACTTCAGCTACTACCGGATACTACTGCTTGTTACTGGTAGTTCTTCCTACTACAATGTTACTGTGATTTGCCCCCATGAGGTAGACTTCGGCTATACTCTATAGAGAGCCGCTTGCCAATTTCCGGTTTTGCCTTTTTATTATCAAACATTTTCATTACGTAATTTGCACAAATCGCAATTTTTCTATATAATGCTAATTTTTACATTAACACGCTATACACTATAAAATAGGCATTTTGGTCCTTTATCATTATGTGATAAGGGTTACTTGATATATTTACATTCAAAAAAGTTATTAATCAAAATGTACCTAATTTACATAACAAAAGTGCACATTAAATCTTTAATTTTACTATATTTCTCAAATGCGTTTATTTACATAAATTATCTATTTACTTATTTCAATCTATGCACCATATGCTAACTAAGTATCATATTTACGATTCTTTCAGAACACAAAAATATTCTTATTATTTTCATATAAACTATTGCGCAGTTAATTAACTTCTAGAAAGTTCCACGATATGCTGCGCTGTGATTGGTCGAAATTTTATTTAATGTTTAAAGTCGTTTATATCAACTTATTATTAAAACGATACTTTATACAAATATATTACGAGTTGTAAACATACTGTAAAACTATATTAAAACACAATTTATTCGATTTTGTTGCCAATTTCACTTTTTTAAAACAATTTAATATTCTTTAATCACTTTTTGCTTAAAGTCTTTAAACCGTCGCGAACATCTCTCCCGCCGTGCAGCGTCGCGAAGATCTCATCGTAGTGGCGCTGCATCCATTTCGGTGAGCGACGTTGCTTCTACTTCGGCAGCGGCACGAGTTTCTTGGTTGGCCTCTTGATTAGGCCGTTTGCGGTTCGTACCTCCACAGTGCGGATCTGTCCGTCCGCACCGGGGAATACTGCTTCAATTCTTCCTCGTGGCCAGGTGTTACGAGGTAACTGGCTGTCGGCTATGAGGACTGGATCGCCCACCTGGAGATCGGGGCCTCGACCATGGGCCTCCCGCCGGTTTTGGAGTTCCGGTAGATACTCTCGCACCCAACGCTGCCAGAACATATCAGCGAGTATCTGAGAGCGTCGCCAGTGCCTTTTGCTATTTATGTCCTTTTCATTGAATACCCCAGGTGTCGGCAGTCTTGCTGATCCTCCCAATAGGAAGTGATTTGGAGTGATGGACTCGTAATCGTTGCTGTCCACGGAGATGTGAGTTAGTGGTCTACTGTTTACTGTATACTCCACCTCGCAGAGCAGCGTGGCTAAGACTTCTTCATGTGGATGTCTTTCGTGAAGGACGGTGTATAGTGCCGTCTTTACGCATCGTACGAGACGTTCCCATACCCCTCCCATGAAGGGCGCGGAGGGGGTTATAAAACGCCACACTATGCCTCGTCGGCTGGCTTCTTCTTTAAAAGCCTCCCGCAGTTCCTTATCCGCGCCGTGCATGTTGGTGCCGTTATCTGAATAAATTTCGGTGGGGCACCCTCGGCGCGCTGCAAATCGTCTCAAAGCTAATATTGCGGAGTCTGCGCTGAGATTTGCAACAATTTCCAAATGGACAGCTCTAGATGTGAGGCAGGTGAATAGAGCCACGTATCTTTTCTGATGTTGTCGTCCCACTGTGACGGAGAGTGGCCCAAAATAGTCCAGACCGGTGAAAGTAAACGGTCTCTGGTGATGAGCGAGACGTGTGCTGGGATGATCACCGGTGGCTGGCACTGATGGTTGTGCCTTTCTGATGCGACATGGCACACATTGGCTCACTATTCGTTTCGTTGTGGGTCTAAGTCTTATAACCCAGTAATGTTGTCGAACCTCGTTAATTGTAGGTTCGGTTTCGCAATGATGTAGGCTGCGATGCGTCCAGTCTATGTACAATTGGGTGATGCGATGATCACCATCCAATATAGCCGGACCTTTCATGTCTTTCGAGACTCCCTTCGCAGCGGCTATGCGACTTCGCAGCGCGATGATCCCGTCTTTTAATTCTATCTGTAGCGGTCTTAGGCGGCTATCATGGGCGACCTTTTTATCGTTACGGAGATCGTCTATTTCTTGTCTGAAGAAGTCCCCTTGTATGACACGTATTAGGAGCTTTTCGGCCTCTCTGATGAATTCGGCCTCGAGTGTGATGTGCCTTTTGACATCTGCGGTTTTTCTTAGACTGGAGGACTGTGTGCGGTGTAGCGGATTGTTTTTTGCTTTTCTCCAGTCGGGATCTTTTTCTTCATTCCTTATAGTCCTTTTGTAGAAGGTCCTGTCTGTTGTTTTACGGCAGAGTGTAATAAATTGAAGCACTCTGGCCGTCGCTCGCAACAAGCGTTCCCATTTCGAAAAATTTGCTGGATTTGGGATGGCTTCTCTTATTACCGGAGCTCTATGTGATTCTGTAATGGTGAGGCATTTTTCCTCACCGGTGGGTTCGGATGACGTGGGTCTTTCGGTCGGCCATGCTGATGGTTCTTTATACAGAAACGATGGGCCGCAGTACCACTCATGATTTGAGTCGAAGTTGGGTGGTACGTCCCTTGTAGCGGTGTCAGCTATGTTCAATTTGGTAGGTACCCAGCGCCAGTCATCTACTTTACTATGGTCCTCTATGGTTTCCTTGCTCGTGTGCAGCTCATTGGCCGCGTGGACGCGCTGATACGGGGCTTTAGTGTGTGCCCCGTGTAGCACCCATCCTAATTCTGTGAGCGAGGCGATTGGTTGGTGCGGCGGACCTCTGCGAATTTTAGTGGCTATCAGGAGTCTCCAATTATCTTGTCCTATTAAGATCTTTGGGTTGCCTGAGTCGTATATTAATTGCTCCTTCAGGTCTTTTAAGTGTCTACAATTTTCTATATTGGTTGCACACACAGTCTGTGGCCCCAAGTTTAGGCTGGCGACCGTGCGTGCTCTGAATTGTACCCTTTTCCTGTGGAGACTCTTGAGCGAAACTTTGACTCGTCGGGAGTTCGGCGAATCAAGGGTATTGTTCCCGATGGTGGTGATCTTAAAGGGGTCCAACCGCCCTGTTGCTCCAATTTGTTTGGCTATTTCCTCATCCATTAATGAGACTGTTGACCCATCATCCAGCAGGGCGTGTGTATTTACAGCTCCCGCCGGTCCAATTACTCGGACTGGTATTATTTTTAAATAAGCGTGATGTTTTGACACGGCGAATTAATTTGCAACTGTTTCCTGAGGTTCTATTTGTGTGACCTCCGTTTTCTCCTTTTTATAATGGTGGAGAAGTCTATTGTGTGTCGCGGTGCACCCTTTTATTCCACACTTAGTGGTTTTACATTGGTGTGTTTGGTTTTTGTATCGCAAACACCGGAAACATAAATTATATTGTTTTGCGAGTTCCCATCTTTTGTCGGTATCCGCTTCTTTAAATTTTCTGCAGTCGGATCCGTAGTGGCCTTCCTTTTGGCACACTCTGCACTTCGGAGACGGCTTAGTGGTAGCCGTGTGTGTCCTATGTACTGGACGATTGCTTTGCGCCCCGTTTATAATTTCAGGAGGCGCAAATGCACTACAGTAGCGAGCTTGTTCGGTGATAAACTCGCTGAAAGAACCGAGGTCTGGCCTAGAGTCGTATTTTTCGGTATAAACTTTATACCACTGTGCCCGTATAGAATTGAGCAATTTGTCTGTGAGGTGTCGTAGCAGCTCTGCGTTGATGAGATAATGGTCTCGTTTGAGTGCCCGTAGAGTGACGACGCTTCCCCTCACCTTGCTTGCGAATGTGCAAATATCTCTAGGCGCTTCTGTACAGCGTGGCAATCCTCGTAACTTTTCGGTTTCAGCTTGTGCAATTGAGTCTGGAAGCCCAAATTGTAGCTCCAGTTCTCGCATGATCTCATCTGGCTTAGCATGCCCGATGAGTTCCGAACTAACTGTCTCCAAGGCTCTTCCCTGTAGACTTCTTCGTAGTCTTGCCGTATTTTCGATATCGTTGAAGTAGCCTCGGGTTGTTTCATAAATGGCACGGAACGATAGCCATTCGGTATGTGCTCCGCTAAAGCACGGCAGTGTCATTATAGCTTTCGACGCTGCGAAAGTATGCGACGATGCACTGTCTGGTTTTGGTTTGTCAGCGAGTGCGGCTATAGCGGATGTGAGCTCCGATATAAATGGTCGGAGCCCTCTGTCTTCATTTGTGACAGATGCCTGGTTAGGCTTCGTTGACAGGGGATTCTTCGTTACGTCTGCCGGATAGGGATCCTGGTAGGTGAGCTCTGATACAGCTGGTAGGAGCTCCCTGTCTTCATCAACCTTCGATTCCTGGCTAATTTTTAGTGGCACAGGATTCTTGGGTACTTCTTCCGGATCGTGATCCAGGTAGGTGGGCTCTGATACGATTGGTAGGAGCCCCCTGTCTTCAACAACCTTCGAACCATGGTTTGTGAGCTTCTTCTGCGGCTCACTGAGGTCGACAACCTCCGGGGGTGGCCTTGTGACGGTTTTGTTTAGTGGGGCCTCCCCTCCGGTGGCGACGCCATGAGTTGGCTTTTGCTTGGCTACGCTATTTTCGAGTCAAGATCGGACGTACTCGCTTTTAGAGTGACCATCTTCATCATAGTCGTCCGAATCATCTTCTTCCTCAGCCATTTGCAAGGAAATTTGTGCGAGTTCCAATTTAATTCTCAGCACTTCTTCACGAGCCTTCAAAACTTTTTTATTGGGCCGAATAGTCCTCTTTGACTTTATACTTTTATTTCGGTGGCCCCTGGGTGGCTCTTCGGTGCGGGAGTCTTCCCGGACTGTTGGCGGTGATGCACATCGAATGTCATCGTTGTCCTCTATATGCTTCATCTGCTTCGGTGTACCGGTTGTAGTGGCCGGCACGGGCAGGAGTACCCCCCCATCGCGGGGGCAAGGTGGCGCCTCAACGCCCTCTGTGGTCGATGGTGAGCGTGGTGGCATCTGGTGGCGGACGGCGTCGGTATTGTCCGACGGGCCTCCTTCCAGACCGACGGTCCACGCCATGGCTCCCCTTCCTTGCGAACGAGTGATCGGCATCTTGATTCTAAAAATTCTGCTGACTTTAATACGGTAGTGTCTATGTATCCGGTTCCGAAATACAAACCGATGAGGGATTCAGCTCGTACGACCAGCTAATGCTGGACTCGGCTCGAAGTATAACGGAAGGATCCGGCTCGAAGGACCAACGAATGTGCCGGACGGGCGTAACTCTCCGGAGTAAATGTTGTCGAAGATACTCCGCGAGCCGCTCACGTCCTACACCTATAGGTTCAGGAGGATACTTTCACTACCGCCTTTGTGTATGCTGTTGGAGAACTGTGGACTGAGGTTCAGAATTAAAAATGCACGATTTATAAATTAAAATAGCAAGGGAGTGGCCAGCGGTTCGACTGATTAATTAGTTGCGAAATATTATAACTTATTTATTTATTTAACACTGTTGTTCAACTATGGTTGTTCACTTATATATTTCAAAACACAGATTTAATTAAACACACAGTAATATTAAAATTTCTATTGGTTTTTAAAATTTCTATTCGTATTTTCAAAATATCTGTTGGTAATATCAAATTTCTATTGGCAGTAACAAGTTTCTATTGGTATTTTCTACTATTTCTATTGGTAATTTTGAATATCTATTGGAAGTAACAAATTTCTATTGGTAGTATCCAAAATTTCTATTGGTAGCAGCTGGTTTTCTAATACTACTGACTAGCAGCTATTAATCAACTAAAATTAGTTGAATTTAACACTTTTTGTAACTGCGAATATCAGTTACCACTTTCTCCATCTAGCTAACACTTTTCACTATATGTAACGGCGAAATTTCCGTTACCACTTTATTCGGCTAGCTAACACTTTTTCACTATATGTAACTGCGAATATCAGTTACCACTCCTTTCAGCTAGCTAACACTATTTTACTATATGCAACTGAGAATTTTCAGTTGCCACTTTTTCCGACTATGTGTAACTGCGATTTTTCAGTTACGACCTTTTTCGGCTAGCTAAACTTTTTCTATTTCACTTTAACTTTTCACTGTGTTCTGCTACTAGTCACTTCAGCTACTACCGGATACTACTGCTTGTTACTGGTAGTTCTTCCTACTACAATGTTACTGTGATTTGCCCCCATAAGGTAGACTTCGGCTATACTCTATAGAGAGCCGCTTGCCAATTTCCGGTTTTGCCTTTTTATTATCAAACATTTTCATTACGTAATTTGCACAAATCGCAATTTTTCTATATAATGCTAATTTTTACATTAACACGCTATACACTATAAAATAGGCATTTTGGTCCTTTATCATTATGTGATAAGGGTTACTTGATATATTTACATTCAAAAAAGTTATTAATCAAAATGTACCTAATTTACATAACAAAAGTGCACATTAAATCTTTAATTTTACTATATTTCTCAAATGCGTTTATTTACATAAATTATCTATTTACTTATTTCAATCTATGCACCATATGCTAACTAAGTATCATATTTACGATTCTTTCAGAACACAAAAATATTCTTATTATTTTCATATAAACTATTGCGCAGTTAATTAACTTCTAGAAAGTTCCACGATATGCTGCGCTGTGATTGGTCGAAATTTTATTTAATGTTTAAAGTCGTTTATATCAACTTATTATTAAAACGATACTTTATACAAATATATTACGAGTTGTAAACATACTGTAAAACTATATTAAAACACAATTTATTCGATTTTGTTGCCAATTTCACTTTTTTAAAACAATTTAATATTCTTTAATCACTTTTTGCTTAAAGTCTTTAAACCGTCGCGAACAAGGCCCATGGTCGGAAGTTGAGTTGGTTCAGAGCCAAGAAAGTTGAAGTTATTAAGAAAGATTTTTTATATTAAGTTTATTATATTAAGGCATGTTTAAAAATATTTCAGTAACTTAAGAAACATCTTTATTTGTAGCTAGTACCAAATTGTACCAAATGTATGTATATACTTAATACATATTAACTATTCTTCCACATAATGTAATACAATTCAGATTTGAGAAATTTATATAGTAATTAAGTTTAAGTTACTTAAGCATCTATTTTTGATGGTGAATAAACGGAGTAATATATTCATATTGGGATTAAGTTTCTACGAAAGAGTTGCGTAAACAAGGTCGGATGACATAATATCGGGACTAGTTTTACACTAAATATTTTTTGGAATATTATAGAAATCTGTTATTAGCTAACATTTCTTTATATAAAATCAATGTTATGTATTATAATGTACAAATTTGTTGACGTTCCAATAATAAAAAGTAGAAATATTGTAGTAAAAAGTTTCGATTGTTTAAATAAGATTTATTCATTACATTAACACTACGAACGTAAAAAATAGGTTTATTATATTTTATTTAACGTCTTTGTTACAAATATTAATAAAAAATTATAATAAAATGGCAATGGCTTCAAAAAAAGTTCCTATTTTAAAATATTTTCTCTTGCTCTGGAATTTATAGGTTCCAGTGGCATTTAATTAGGTACTGTGACAATTATGCGAATTCGTCCTTATTGTATTTAATTAATAGTTAAAAGGTTTTAAAAATAAGTAATATAGGTAAATATTTATCGTAAACAAAAGTAAACTGATTCCTTGCGAGATTAAGGTTTTCGTCGTGTAACTTGAGACGAACTTCTTATCCAAGTTTGAATGAAATATATAAGACTAAAGAACAATGATTAAAAATTCCAAAAATAGTTTTCTTTTTTTTTCAAATTCTTACCTGGACTATTTTAAAATATTAAAACTTTTATAAAGGTTTATTTTATATCTCACCGAACAAAGTAATTAATAGAAGATTTAAATAAAACTTATTTTATATTCCCGACGTTTCAAGCACTTTACAGCACCCATGGTCACGGGGGGACTAAGTTGTATGACGTCCCAATGTCATAACGGCTACCTCCAGATTAAAAATTATAAATTTTTGTTCCGATCTACCCAGTATGAACTTACAGTATCTTGAAGTCTTACAGTTGTATGCTTGGGTTGGGATTTAGTTTTATTCATTATGGGATCCCAAGCAGATGGTAGCATCTAGCCATCTTCTCTATTGAAATTAGGATGTATTTTGATTTCAATAGCCTCGCGAATCATCCTTGGAAGGAATCGGTGTTCTTTAGCGAGGATTGGGGTCTATCAAATCTAATGTAGTGATGGGGGCGATCCGGTACGTGTTCACAGACTGCAGACTTCCCGGAGCATCGATTCTTCTCATCGGCTATGTGTTCTTTAACGCGGGTTTTATGGATCTTTTAGTTTGTGCTATATAAGAGAGACCACATTCACAATCAAGCTTGTACACTCCTGCATCTTGCAGGGGGAAATTACACTTGACTGATGGTAAAACTGACTAATCTTCTTCGGCGGCTTGAAGTATGTTTTAGTGGAAGCGCGCTTCAAGGTGTAGCCAATCTTGTCAGTGACACCTCTGACATATAGCAGTACAGCAGGCACTCACTCGACTGTGGCCGGCTTCACTCGTTCAAGATACTAGAATACGCTAACATATGATATATGTATATCATTACCATATATGCGCACACTTTGATACGGCAGTTAATAAAATTGTTTTATTTTATAAAACTTTACCCTACACTAAGATT